TACTCCTGCCAGCGTTGCATCCAGACCACTTCCTATGTGGCCAGGGAGGAGGCACTCATAGAACCAAGAATCACTTTTTTTTCCCTAAAGCCTCTGCCATTGGCATGAGGCCAACTCATGTTTCATATGTGGAACATTTGACCCTCAGGCTCAGCTGACCCAATTTCCTATCTGTGGTTTGAATATTTGGGCTTGATATACTGGATCCATTGCCTCCTCTCCCTTGAGTCCTGAGTGGCGTCTCTGAATTCTTTTTAAGTGTAAAGCACCCAGCAGTTTCTCAATGTGCTCTTCCCAGGCCACCTTCCCTTCTTGCTTCTGTGTGTTAGAGCTGGGGGCTGGTTTCTGCTCAGGCCCTGGTTCCACCCTGCACTTTGGAGGGGGAGGGTGTGGGGCAAAGGAGGAGGAGCAGCTCAGCCGTCTTCTAAGTAAGAACTGCTGAGCGTGATCTGCAACTCTGACTTGTCCTGCACTTTAGGCATAGGGCTCCTCAATGTGTCCTTCCAAGAGGGCGAGAGCAGCTCCTGGGACCATTTAGGAAATAAGGTGGGAGGTGCAAACCTATTGGGCCAATTGCTGCAAGGCCCCAGGGTACCTGGTGCAAGGCCCTCAGGGTTTGGGACCTCAGCTTCTATGTTCTCTTCAGCCATTTCCTTCTTTGCATTTGACCCTCTCCCTGCCAGTACTTGGCACTAACTGAACAGTGAACTCCTCTGCCTGACTGCAGTTGTGGCTCTGGGTAGGGAACCAGCAGTGCCTTCCTGGCTGGCCTCAGCTCTCCTTGTGCCCCCAGCCATTTTCCTCCAGTCGGATCCGCCAAGATGCCTCACTTTTCCCACAGGGTGCGGCTGGCCGGTATGAAGATCTCTCGCCCCCCCACATCTGTGGGGCATTACAAGATGGTGAAGCACCGAGGAGACAAGGGCAACGAGGAAAACCCACATAGGTAGGCAGGGAGGGCTGCCGGGCGGTGGGGCTGGACCCTCCGGCTCTGTATTCCATCAGAAAACCCCTGCAGGCCCTCGATTCCTGGCTGTTCCTTCCTGGTTCTTAGTCTCTCTCCTCTAATCCTCAGATTTGACCTCCTGATCCGCACTCAGAATTCCTGGACACAAGATGGGATGAACTCACTGACATACCGATTGCTGGCTCGAGAGTTGGGCCCTCTCTATACCAATGTCACAGTAGACATTGGAACTGACCCCCGGGGTCCCCGGATTCCCTCTGGCCCTCGTTACCCACCTGGCTCCTCCCAGGCATTCCGCCAAGAGATGCTGCAGCGCAGGCCGCCAGCCAGGCTGGGCCCTCTGCCTACTGCCAACCACACAGCCCCCCATGGCCCACACTGACCCTCCTTCCTGCCCACCTTCAGTCATGAGACTGAACCAGAGGGTTCTGTTCTCCCTCCCTCAGCTCCCACTGCTCTTAGAGGGACTGGGAGCCACTTACGCTGTGCTGGGGCCGGGGCCTCTTACTGCTGGACTGGAGTTGGGCTCCTCTAGACCTGAGGGCCCCTTTCTAGGGGCACCTGCCAGGATTATGACTGTGAATCCCCGATGTCATGATTGTATGTGGTGACTCCTGGGAGTGCTGCCCCTGCAGTGGGAGCAGGGCTGGACCCAAGTCCCTTCCTCTTCCATGGAGAGAAGAGTGACCTAGCTTCTCCCGGGACCTCTGTGAATATTTATTCTATTTATGGTCCCCAGGATGTGTTAGGTGCAGTGAGCCCCTCCCTGGGCACTTTCTGCCAGGGCTAGAGCAGCCCCCTCTTCTGGCTCTGGCTCAGGCGGCTGGATTTTGATATATTTTCTAATAAAGGACTCAGTCTCGCCTTTGCTCCTGCTTTCTGTACCTCAGGCACCCTTTGCCTGTCTCTGCACCTCCTTCCTCCCCTTGCCCATGACAGGACAGCCAAACTGAGCCAATCTCCCACAACTTTTATTTTCATGGTGAGAGTCCCAGCCAGCAGGGGCAGCAAGATGGGGTGTGGGGGTCATCTGTCAAGTTCTAAGCCCAGGGCCCGGGCTGCTGCCTGGCGCCCACTCTCTATACAGTCATTGACAGCAACTCCCTCATAGGAGGCTCCAGCCAGGGTCAGGGGCAGCCTGCGAGCAGCCAGGAAGTGGGCAGCTGACTCTGCAGGGGACAAGGATCGTCAGTGGGCCGGAGTTCCTGGCGCTCCTCAGCCCAGCTGTTTCCCAACTTACCCAGTTTTCTCCAGTGGCCTAGTGTGTACTGGGGGATGCAGTGCTGGGGAGAGGAGGAGATAAAAGAAGTTCATGACTGATGTCACAAGCCTTGGTGGACACTGACAAAAACGCCAGGTCCTGCCTTTGATGCCTGTAGGGGAGCTGAGGGCATCCGTCCAGCTCACCTTGTGCAGGTGAACCAAGCAGTGACTCGGAGGCTCCTTCAGTCCTAACTGCGTGGCAGCTGCTTCCTGTGCCTGCCGCTGGAGCAGCTCCCGAGAGGAGGCCCAGCCCCTGGCTTCCAGCCCCTGTAACCAGGAACCTCCGAGCATCACCTAGGGAGAGACGACGGCCCTGACCTACGCTGGGCACATGGGAGCCCCTCGGAAACCCCAGCTAAGCAAAGCTGCCTCCTCACAGTCACTCTGAGGCCAGGGGGGCTCCCATCCTGCTCGGGAAAAGCAACTGAGTCGTACACGATTCCCAGGACGCCTGGGTCTTCTGAGGATGGCACCAGATGTCCAAATCCCTGAGAGAAGGAGATGGTCAGGGGAAGGACTCCAGGGGGCCCTTGCCTCCCCTTCCTGTGTCACACCTGGACCGGCAGCTGGGCTCCTCGGTACTGCAGGTTCACCACGGCCACAGACACAGCATGGATGGTGCCCAGGATGCGCGCCAGAGGTGCAGCCTCGGCGGGGAGCAGCTTGCTGAGCACTGGGGGAGCCGGCAGAAGCTGCTCAGGAGGCCTTCCCCCCACAATTCCATCCACCCTTCTTGGGATTAGCCTTCCACAGGATGTGCAATTCAGCGCATGGCATGGTCCTACTGGCCCAGAAACCACAGCTTGCCTCACCCCGGGTGGGGAAGGGAGGTGGCTACCCATTACCTGAAGCTGGAAGAGCACTAATCACATGGTCGGCCTCCAGGCAGCTGCCTCCCAGAGACACCTGAGTAGGAGCACATTTGAAACACAGAGGTCATGGAAATTTTGCCTTAGCTTCCCGGGCACACACGTGGCAGGAGAGCCGGGTAGTTAGCAAAGAAATCACCCCCTTACTCCAGGAAGTGGGCCAGACAGCCAGTGTCCACTCTGAGCTGTTCAGTGGAGCTGGGCTCTCAGCCACTGATAGCACTGTTTCTACCCACAGACTTGGGTCAAAGGGCCTTGGAGGAAGGTCCACAAATGAGGCCCATATTTAAACAGCTTCTAGGGCAGGAAACAAGCAACTCCAGTCCGCCAGGCCTGGCTTGGTGGAAATATGTAGGCAAGCCCTGGCCAGGGAGCTCTTCTAGAGCATCACCCCCATATGTCAGGTTGTGGGCTCCATCCTGGGTCACAGCACATACAAGAATCAACCAATGAAT